CAGCCTGAGCCTCCTTACACCAGCCTGAGCCTCCTTACACCAGCCTGAGCCTCCTTACACCAGCCTGAGCCTCCTTACACCAGCCTGAGCCTCCTTACACCAGCCTGAGCCTCCTTACACCAGCCTGAGCCTCCTTACACCAGCCTGAGCCTCCTTACACCAGCCTGAGCCTCCTCACACCAGTCTGTGCCTCCTCACACCAGCCTGTGCCTCCTCACACCAGTCTGTCCCTCCTTACACCAGTCTGTGCCTCCTTACACCAGCCTGATCCTCCTCACACCAGCCTGAGCCTCCTTACACCAGCCTGAGCCTCCTTACACCAGCCTGAGCCTCCTTACACCAGCCTGAGCCTCCTCACACCAGCCTGAGCCTCCTCACACCAGCCTGTGCCTCCTCACACCAGTCTGTCCCTCCTTACACCAGTTTGTGCCTCCTTACACCAGCCTGAGCCTCCTCACACCAGCCTGAGCCTCCTTACACCAGCCTGTGAACGGTTATTTAATGATCAAGATGAGCGAGGCGGGTGTAATATCTCATGAAAGACTTGCTCTACTCCCGTGACAACCTCACCCGTCCTTACCCAAATCTTGGAAGCGTCTTCAGCTGTTGCTGAAGTGCCAGCTGAAGATGTCAAGTGGGAGATAAATTGTCGAGTGAGAGTTTTAAGTGACACTTGAGGTGGGAGAAGTGTCAACCTATTGGGGGGGGGGGGGAGTGGAAGGGAATTGTTAGTCGCTTGAGGTGGGGTTATTGTTAGTCGCTTGAGGTGGGGTTATTGTTATAGTCGCTTAGGGAAAGTGTTGGTCACTTGGGGTGAATCATTTAGTATGGGTTGCGCTGTGGGGTGAACCTGATACTACAAGTGTTTAATGTTCAAGATAAAGGGACTTATGATTGAGGACTTGTGTGTCTAATAACTGATTAAAGCAACCGGGGAGTCCAGGTGGATTATTAATTAATAACCATTTCGTCGGTGAACACGTCACGGAAGCGGACCTCAGGGCAGTGTGATGTACATTATGTATGTATGTATGTATGTATGTATGTATGTATGTATGTATGTATGTATGTATGTAGTATGTATGTATGTATGTATGTATGTATGTATGTATGTATGTATGTATGTATGTATGTATGTATGTATGTATGTATGTATGTATGTATGTATGTATGTACTTTAAAAAAATATCGCTATCGTACTCAGCAGAATACATGGCTCCCAGGAGATTATCCAAAAGATTATATACATCATCGTGAAATTTGGCGCCAACCACAACAAACAATGACGTCACTGGGTATAGATGCCATGACTCTAAATATTATCTACCTTATACACAAATGAGCATCGGCTCTTGAACATTACGAACCTACTCCTTGGGAACTATTATTCTGATAGAAAAGTGATTGACACGTGTCACCTCGATTCATGTCTAGTACTGTAAATAGTGTACGCCACTAAGCCTACCAATAAATTTAGCTTCAATTATATTTTAGATATTTAGTTATTTAAATTAATGTACTACGTACCATGCCCAAACACTTAAGTCTTTAAGTCACACTGACGCTCTCTCCTGATAACTGACCTGTGACTGAGAGAAAAGGAACTCTCGAAATCGGTCAGTGGTAAAATAGTGTAGGGAGGGAGGGAATTATCAGGGGAAAGTGTCAAGCTATAGCACTGTATAGCACTTGGAAGGGGTCAGGATAAGGAAGCAAGAGGCCGCGAGACCAGCGACAACAGCAAGAGGCCGCGAGGCCAGCGACAACAGCAAGAGGCCGCGAGGCCAGCGACAACAGCAAGAGGCCGCGAGACCAGCGACAACAGCAAGAGGCCGCGAGACCAGCGACAACAACAAGAGGCCGCGAGGCCAGCGATAACAGCAAGAGACCGCGAGACCTGCGACAACAGTAAGAGGCCGCGAGACCAGCGACGTAGGGTATTTGGGAGGCAAGTTTGTGAGTTTGGACTGTGAGTGTGAGGCAGGGTTTGATGGGGGTGGGGGCTGGAGGGGAGGGGGGAGGGTCACCAGGTAATCAATACATGGACGCCGCCTCACTCTCCTCCACCACCGACGTCGACGCCGGTGGGGGCTGCCTGCCGCCACCTTCAGACGTCCTCTCCTTTCTCGTCACCCACATGTGCTCCCACCCTCCTCACCTGGTCCAGCCCCCATGTACACACGCTCCCACCCTCCTCACCTGGTCCAGCCTCCATGTACACGCTCCCACCCTCCTCACCTGGTCCAGCCCCCATGTACACACGCTCCCACCCTCCTCACCTGGTCCAGCCCCCATGTACACGCTCCCACCCTCCTTATCTGGTCCAGCCCCCATGTACACGCTCCCACCCTCCTCACCTGGTCCAGCCTCCGTGTACACACGCTCCCACCCTCCTCACCTGGTCCAGCCCCCATGTACACACGCTCCCACCCTCCTCACCTGGTCCATCCCCCATGTACACGCTCCCACCCTCCTCACCTGGTCCAGCCCCCATGTACACACGCTCACACCCTCCTCACCTGGTCCAGTCCCCATGTACACGCTCCCACCCTCCTCACCTGGGGTGGTACAGAGATTCAGCACCGCTCCTGTGCCAGGTAAGTCCACTATGGGCTCACCATAGCCCGTGCTACTTGCCCCGCTCCTATGCCAGGTAAGTTACGGGCTCACCATAGCCCGTGCTACTTGGAACTTGTTCCGAGTGGCTGAATCTATAACAACATCCTCACCTGGCTGTGCTAGTCCCCTCAAGCCTCATACAGGCGCTTTTAATAGTTCCCATTACGGGTTATTCATACCCGTGCCACCTCTTGGGCGGCTTAATCTACATCGTCAATTAGTTCCCAACACAATCACTTTCACAATCACTCGTGCACTCACGCACTTCCACTCGTACTCACGTACAGTACCGAAAGCTTGGAAGACTATAGTGATGTGCATATATGATAGAAAGTAGGATAAGTGACACTGACCTACGAATGAGAATCTCTAACAAGCAACTACTAGAGACCTGCAGGAAGTGTAGGATCAGCGGATTGTAATGGATATGTGGGTCTGCGGGCCGCTGCTGGCGACAACCTTATAGATCAGTTAATCATCAAACAAACCTGGCCCCCGGCCGGTGCATGGGGCAGCAGAACTCTTGAAATAGACTACAGTACATGTAACTTACAGGTTGATGTGAAGGCGGCTCTTTGAACACTTCACAACTGTTGAATAGAATACAATCTTCAACAGTTATTACAACCCGGCAAACGCAACTTAATTCATTGTTACATCATTATAATAATGAGAAATAACGTATTGTGTTGTGTTTGCTGGGAGGATGGGAAAGCTTGCCTGAGAAACATATTAAAAAGTCTGCAAGATATGGCGGAAATACCAGACCAGCCATAGGCTTGAGCAGCCCGCATCTTCCTTGAATACCAGAAGGTATTCGACACACTCCAGAGCATGATAATCATACTCGAGCTAGACAAATAAGCTGGACCAGCGTTCATCAAGCATTTACGAAACCTGTACATCTTTCAACGTTCATGGAGGCTTTGTTTACTTTCATTAAACATCTTATGAGCTTCGAAACTTATAATCCAAGGTTATTATTGATATAAAAAACCTTGTAGTACTTCAGAGATCATAAACGTTAATAAATGTAAATAATGCGGCTATGACAAAGGAAAGATGTACAGGTTTCGCAACATACAAGGCTAAAAGTCGATTAATTCATACCCCTCCTTGTACACCTTACACCCCTGTACACCTTACACTCCTCAGTACACATTACACACTGCACACGCACTGTATAAACATGTAATGTTGATGGTAATGTGGGTGTGGTGTAGGCTAGCCAAGATGGGCGGCCACAGGCGCCCGCTGTGGTAATAACGGGAGGCAAGGGCACGCACACACATGTTGCTCGACTGTTGACAGCAATACTCCCCGCTGAAATTTGTTACGACTGGTCGATTCTTGCTCCTTCCCCCCCCCCCCTCCACCCGCCTATTTCTCCTCCTCTCCTCTCCCGCCCACTCTTCTTCCTGCTCCACTTCATAAACCTGTTCTTCCTCCTTCTGTCCCTCCTCTTTTCTCCCCACTGCTTATCTTTCTCTTCTTCTACTCTCTCAATCTCCTCTCATTTCTCATGCCTTCTCTTTCCCAATTCTCTTCCTCGCTTCCACTGCTTTTCCTCCATTTATCTTTCCCCAACCACAAGACTGGCCGTGTAATCTTACATCTTAAGTCTTTATTGGATTAAATTTATTATTATTATTATACATAAGTTGGTGAGTATGAGTATAGTGAGCAGTGAGTCGTGTTCGTCCCCAACACCGTGAGTCAACTTGCACTTACTTCCCCATCTCACATGCGCCTTGCTCTCAACTCTACATTATCTCTCCATTTGATCCCAGTTACAAAATCTAACCAGCAGTCGAGTACTTGGCTTATTCTGTCACGTGTGGGACGTGATGACCAGGGCCACGATTTATCAAGCACTTAAGTAGTCCACCTACGAAACCTGTACATCGTGGAGGCCTTGTTTGCATTTATTAAAGTTTACGAGGTTGTGTATATCAATAATAACCTTGGGTCGAGAGCCACCTCGCAGCGTTTCCACGCTTGAAACTGTTCAGTATGTACAGTATGTACAGCCTAAGGCGCCCTGATCGGTGAAAGATGTACAGATCTCGTCACACAGTTACTAGTCTTACCAGTAACTGTGTGACGAGATTAGTTACTAGTCTTACTAGTTACTTACCCACCCAACTGGGCGACAGATTTATAGTCATGTGCATGCTTTACCTACAGTAAGCAAGTTTTGGATACTTCGCAAAGATTCCTGGCAGTACATCATCATGAATGAAGTACGTACACATTTCTTGGACTCCATTGATGGTGTTGTCTCTGAATCCCACGATTTTTTCACATTCCATTATATAATGACGCAAAGTATGCGGATAGTTCTGCTGACAGAGTTTCGTAATGTGAAGTGTCTATTTCAGATTGGAGTGTGAGCGAGCGTGTTGATGAGTGTGTGGTGAGTAAAATGATTTGGTCCTTGTCACAGGCTTGCATGCGGTGTTTGTTCATTTTAACTTTACAATGAAAGTAATTATCAGGGGAAAGTGCTAAGCCGGCGATGCCCAACCACTATCAGGGATCGAACGTCGACTCTGTAAGATACAAGGCCGTTGCTGAACCAACCAGACTAAGGCTACACTTTGACCACTGTACACGAGAGAAACTAAGGAACACGGTAGTAGACCTGCTGGCATGTGCGAGGATGGCCATATTTACATTAAATCATTTTAAATCGTATATCTCTTCAGCCTATTTTTTTTCTCAAATATTCACATGAGTTGAGCAACTTGGCAGTGTTCTACTCATCAACAACTCTACTTGCCAAGCCAGTGTTTATGTGCATCCTTTAAAATCAAATTTTGTCGACTTTGAATCCATTGTTATTAGTTTTATGTAAACACAGCTGATGCTCTTCAATCAGTTATGCATTTTAACATCACTATTGGTTCTATGTCTCACAAGACAATAACATCATTATTGGCTCTGTCTCACAAGACAACAACATCACTATTGGTTCTGTCTCACAAGACAATAACATCACTATTGGTTCTGTCTCACAAGACAATAACATCACTATTGGTTCTGTCTCACAAGACAATAACATCACTATTGGTTATACAGTACAGTATATCTAACCAAGCAACAATATCACTGTGGAATTCTTTAGCATTCACGGCCACATCTGGTCTGGCATTACCTTGTTATATTTAGTTCCATCAGATGACTTGTGTTCTTCTCCCTCAGTGACTACTATACTACCCAATATTATACCTTGCTAGAGGGCATCCTCCTACCATTGATCTCTGTTCTGGCTTTGCTTCACCTACCACCTGGACCCTACTGAGGACATCCTGGCACACCATGTTGTTTATACTAAGATTGTCCCTGTGTCTACATAGAGTGATCACGCCAGGGGTTTGCTGTGATTGTCCTCTAGATGTATCCATGTAAACGTTTTGGTTGGTACAGTACACAGTACATTTGTACTGTACATTTCTTTTGCTGTTGCCGTCCTAACTCTAGTGTACTTATTTTTTAGGGGGGGGATATCGTTTGAGCACTTCCTTCTGTTTTTTTCCTTTTTCTCATGCCTCTAGTCTTTTCCTTCTCCCTGTCCACCCTATTGACCAGGAGTGTAGTCTACGTTTTTTTCGTGAACTTCCCTCCCAGTGATATAAAGGTTTCGGTGGCATTTGCACCTTCCCGCGCCACACAATTCATTTTTATTTGTCTCGAACCTCCAATTTATTCCCTCCTTAAACTTTTTTGTAGAGAGGCCCCTTGTCCAACCGTAATCCTTTGCCTGTAGTATCGAAAACTAAAATTCAATGGTCGCAGTCTTCTAGGGTCAATTCGTGTTATCTTCGATATTTCTGCCTTATTTTAGATACACAAGGTCTAATGTTGGCTCTGTAACATATTTCCTCAAAAAGTGCTGTGTCCCAAATTTTCTATCCATGTTCATCACTCCGTTACCTAGTCTGTTTCCCTGTGGTTAAAATCCCAAAGTATTATCATTGTAATCCTTCATTTTCCTTGCCACTATAGCCCCCTTCACCATTACCATTTGGCTATTGTGATTCTGTGGTAGGATGGAGCAGCAGTAGCAGTAATGTGGTGGGATGGAGCAGGAGTAGCAGTAATGTGGTGGGATGGAGCAGGAGTAGCAGTAATGTGGTGGGATGGAGCAGGAGTAGCAGTAATGTGGTGGGATGGAGCAGCAGTAGCAGTAATGTGGTGGGATGGAGCAGGAGTAGCAGTAATGTGGTGGGATGGAGCAGCAGTAGCAGTAATGTGGTGGGATGGCGCAGCAGTAGCAGTAATGTGGTGGGATGGAGCAGGAGTAGCAGTAATGTGATGGGATGGCGCAGCAGTAGCAGTAATGTGATGGGATGGAGCAATAGTAGCAGTAATGTGGTGGGATGGCGCAGCAGTAGCAGTAATGTGGTGGGATGGAGCAGCAGTAACAGTAATGTGGTGGGATGGAGCAGCAGTAGCAGTAATGTGGTGGGATGGCGCAGCAGTAGCAGTAATGTGATGGGATGGAGCAACAGTAGCAGTAATGTGGTGGGATGGCGCAGCAGTAGCAGTAATGTGGTGGGATGGAGCAGCAGTAGCAGTAATGTGGTGGGATGGCGCAGCAGTAGCAGTAATGTGGTGGGATGGCGCAGCAGTAGCAGTAATGTGGTAGGATGGAGCAGCAGTAATGTGGTAGGCTGGAGCAGCAGTAGCAGTAATGTGATGGGATGGAGCAGCAACAATAGTAGTAATGTGGTAAGATGGAGCAATAACAACAATAATTCAGTAGGATGGAGCAGCAGCAGAATGCTGTGATGGAGCAGCAGTAGCAGTAATGTAGTACGATGGAGCAGCAGTAGTGTGGTGGTGGATATATGGTGTGTGGTGGTGTAGTAAGTGTTGTGATGCAGGGTGGTGGTGGTGGTGGTGGTGAGGGTCGAGCGGGTGGGTCAGTGTTAGTGTAGCCAGTGAGAAGTGAGGAGGGGGTCGCTCTCCGCCACACCAGCTTGAGCCATCCTTCCTTGTATTGCAAGGTGTTGTGAAGTGTGTGACGCAAGTGGAGAGAGCCAGGTAGTGTTGTAAGAGTGCAACACCCACTACTGACGCTCATCAACACACGGCCACCTCTCCTGCACCCAGGTGAGCAGACGCCTGGTCTCCCTCTCCTGTCGTCAGGGGCCGCACTAGGGGGGGTTCTCTCACCCTGAGCTCGGCAGAGCTGTGTCACCCCGTGTTCGGCAGAGCTGTGTCACCCTGTGTTCGGCAGTGTTCTCTGTCACCCCCCCATACTCTGCAGTGCCCTTTGTCACAGCTGTCAAGCCCCGGCTAGGGAGTCTTGGGTCACACATGGCGGGGGAGGGAGATGGCCAGTATACATAGCTCACCCTGTCATATTCTGTATATTGAGTCGCGAAGTAAGGCCCTCACTGAGAGGAAGTTATGTGGTATGGTTGGGCGTGGAGGGTTTGTTTTTGTGGACGGGAGTGGAGAGTGTCTGGGAGGGTGGCCGGGCCGGCCAAGACGTTATCTGGCCGGCGTGATTTTGTTATTCGGACTCCGACGGCAGCGTACCTCTGCTAACCCTCACTTCTGGCCACCTTCTTCCCATTCAACATGTTAACTTTCCTCTCCTCTATCATGCAATCCCCTCTCCTATCTATGAAGCAGTCCCCCCCCTCTCCTATCCATCACGCAGTTCCCTCTCCTATCCATCAAGTAGTCCCCCTCTCTTATCTATCAAATAGCCCCCTTCGCCCCTCCCTATCCTGTTATGTGTACGTCTCCTCTTTGGCATTTCCATGTGTGTTGCCATCAGTTCTCCTTTTTTTCCCCTGTAGGCATTTCATATCTAATTAAAATAAACTCAGTATAATAATATTTTTCCCTTTAAAAGGGAAGGGAACTATCAGGGGAAAGCGCCAAGCCTACCCCCTTTAAAAGAAACAATTTGCTTTGTTTCATCAGAAAATTAAATTACTGGTACATGACTTGGCTGTGGTGAGTACCAAGAAGGTATATAGCCCCTGAGAGCGGGTTGCAGCAAGTGACCATACAGGGTATGGTCAATGCGTGCACAAGACAATGCAAGTGTTCGTTTTCTCTTTGTTATAACCGTATATGTTGTTAAGTGAAGCTGTATTAACTTGGGTGAGGCTGTGTTAGGCTCGGTTGGGTTGGTTTGGTTTGGACTAGGTTAGGTTGGGTGCGATGCTTGGCTTGAGAAGCGAGAGGTCATATAGGGTCGGACTAATAAGCAGTTTATGATGGGATTTAGCAATTTAATTGGATGATAGTGTTCCAGAGTCAAAATACTTTACACGGGTGAGGCTTTAGGATGAACTGAAGCAGAAAATAGAAGTGCTAAAATACAGAAATTGAAACTTTTGCACCCCGTGCCTTCTCAGGGTTGGTCATACAGTAGAACCTAAAACCTGAGCTGGAATAAAATTGTGTTGTCACACCTTGTGCATGCCACATTAAAAACAAAATTTTGGTTAGGTTAGGTTAAGATATGTAGTTACAAAATTTGGTTGTGTTAAGATAGGTAGGTAGGTTGGGTTGGGTCAAGTTGGGTCGGGTCGGGGGTACTTAAAAAGTAGCTATAGCGTAGAATATTGAAAAGTTTCTCGGGACTTAAACCCTACTCGTTTGTGGGGCATTAGAAACTAGAATGGGATGTTTGACGTCGAACAGAGATGGAAGAGTATTGATCAGTGCTCGGGACGGGACTGATAAAGGGGAAAGGTTGACAGAAAACATCAATTGCATAAGCACATAAGTACAAATAAAGTCCACGATTAACGTGGACTATCGCTGCTCATTTTAAAGTCTACGATTAACGTGGATATTATAACTTAGTCATTTATATGACTAAGTATCGAGATTGGAAGGTATGAAGGTGGTACAATATCCAAGAGCAATGCTGAATTAATGGGCATTGTTCTTGGATATTGTACCCGCTGGATGTTGAAAGTTTGAGGAGTACAGTACTTCCTGGAGATCATGAGTGGCAAGATACTTACTTAATAATAGCTGAGTTAACTAGTAATTACCTTGGGACTATAATTTTCTGTAAGACTTACAGTACGGAATATGTACGGTATTTATCTAGTACTGTACCGTACTTATTGTTGGAGGTGAAGCATTAAATTGAATTGAGACATAATTGACAGATTCTTTGTTTTCATAACGTGCCAATAATAACGCAAGAAAGTTGGCAGACGGTGAGGTCAGTAAGACTATTGTTGTTGGCCTTATATTTAGAAGATTTATTTATGTAATAGGACTGTTGTTATCTCATAACCATGCTGGTGAATTTACATCCTTTTATAAGATGTAGATAAGAAAGATGTATAAGAAAGAAGGGAGATATGATCAGAAGCACGAACAAGGTGTTGAAACTATTGAATCAAAATAGCACTCAAAGCGGATTCAAAC